AAAAAAGGGACTGTTAGTGGAGATCGTTGAAACGTTTTCTCTATCCCTGGCTCATGAGAGATAGGATGTTAGTTATCTTTTCTATGGCATTTTTTATTTCTCTTCACCTGTAGAGAGGAAGAAGATGGACAACCTCAACGCTCAAAAAAAGAGTTGATCGCGTTGGCTAAAGAAATAGCAGCAGCAAGCAAAGAGGTGTCTAATTATTCCGCTCGGATTGCTAAAGATTGTCCGGACAAAAGAGTAGCTCAGGTGTGTAGAATTTATGAGTATCGCTGAGTCTAATTATAACAACTTGTAATGAGATAAAAATTCCATTTGATCTGCTGGTGAAAATCAAGTAAAGAAATGACCCTTGTAAGTTTACTGCAGTTGAAGCAGTTGCAGAAATAAGCCTGAAAAATGAAATTTTCCAGAAAATTCAAAATTTCTGCAATTGTTAAATTACATTCTGCTCGCAAGGAACATTTCTTTGCTTGAGTAAAATTGTTTTAGTATTTCGCAAAGCCCCAAACAACCCGAGCTTTTGCAGACAGGTATAGCTTAACAATTGGATAAATACGCTTTTGTTTTTGTTAATGGAAAGAACTTCAATGATTTGTAATCCTGTTTGTAATTTTCTACAATTAGAATCTACTGTTAGGATCATTAACTCGGCTGTTTGGATGGTTCTGAATCACTCCTATCATAGGTGTTTTTAGATTGATCCTATTTTTATTTTTTTCAATTAACTTTATTTGTATTTCGTAACTCTATACTCTGTAGTTAACTGAGCTAAGTGAAGAAATCAATTGGATTTCATTTGTTGCCTCAACGAAGAAAAGGAGATGAAGAGAGAATGGTAGTTAGTCAATGATAAACTTCAAGAGACTGATTTTATTATAGGTGAAGACAATGAATAATTTTTGCGTAATCATGTTCTCCAGTTTGAGCTGTTTTACATATCTACTTGTTTTCAGACATTGAAGCAAACGATAGAGAGAATTCCTACCATCAGTACTCAGCTTAAGATTGTCGCCACTGTGAAAGCTACAATGATCGGAGCTGACGGTAAGCTTTGTTTTTCATCCTAAAAATTGCGTACGTTTTAAATTGCATCAGTGTGCATAAGAGGGATGCTTGTCTTTTTTCAACTCGGTTTGATTGTGATTACACTTTGGATTTCAATCGATCAAGACAAGAATGGCTTGAAGTTTTCGTGGAGGTAATCAATCCCTCTCACGAATAGTTCATGAAGTTAGGCAGAATAGTTTCTTTTGTGTCTTACCCAAATACTCAGCAGGCCAGTGCTCGAATCCACACTGTTTTGTTTCAGTGAATCGTCCCCGCACTTTGGTGATTTTGCGTGCGATTACGTGCAGCGCCTGCACGCGCAAAATGAATTGTAATCAAACTTATCACAAAAGTGGGGACCCCTTGAATTAATATAGTGTTCTTACCTTTCCTTTTTAGATCCCAAGGCGGATTGGGAGGCCACGGAAACTTTAGTCGGTTGTGCAGAGAACTTGATGGGAGCTGTGCGGCAGGCCGTAAAAGAAACCGAGGCTGCCTCGGTTAAGATGCGCTCAGTAGCGAACAACTGGAAAAAACGATAGGCAGATATATGGCAGATTGGAAACTTTTATGATGATACGCTGGCCACCAACCCATTTGTGTTCGGTGGAGGTTTAAATGTAATTAGCAGGGCGGAGAAGAGAGGGGTCAGCGGTAAAAAATATTTTGAAGAATTATGAGAGCGTTTTCACTAAGCTTTGAAAACTGAAAAAGCGAGTTCAACGGTTTTCCTGCGCGTAAAAATCGGTAGAAAACATTGGGTTTTGCCAAAAAAAGAACACAACGTCATGTATTTTGAAAAAAATGACGCTGATCACCGTAGAGATTGTGCTACCAGCAGTGTTTCCTAAGAGTTTAAGAGTATAATTGATGATGATTTCACTTGGCCTTTATTTCTGCGCCAAACTGATATTCGTCTGGGTGATCAAGGCTGTAAACTTCATGGAAAATTAACTTTTAACCTCTTTTTTCACACTATCAGCCAAATTTATTAGTGTGAGTTATCTCAGAACGGATATAAATCTCAGTTGTAAAAATAGATATTCTTCGTTATTTAGATTTCTTTCACAATTGTTAATTGCAGTATTTTTTATCGCGTTTGATTCTGTTTGTGGAGCGAAAACTTATCTTGTGAGAAATCTCGCCCACAGAGAGCGCACTATGTAATGTGGGATAGACGTAGTTTATAATTCATTTAGGATCCTAGTCGATTTATAATGAAAGGAAATTAATTTCATTACTAATGTAGTTACAACTAATAAGTAATATATTTTAATAATTAGGTCAATATTTGAACAATTCAGAGTAGAGTTTCTGAGCGGCTTTCCTTCCTCGGAGTTATTTCGCGAGTACAACATTACTTATATTTTGTTTAAAAAAAATAAAAAATAATTTCAGAAAATGAAGAAAGGTGTTACTCAACTGTTATTTAAATCTTTAAAAGCATTTGTATCAACATTGTGTTCCGAGGTTTACAATAATTTGCTTGGTAGAATGGAAAGTAATCAGCGAAAACTGGAAGGAGTGTTTGAGCACTGGTTGTTAAGAACGTTTTTGTAATCTACTCTGTAAAATAACTGATACTACGAAAGCCCCGTTTGGTTGAAAACCTATTGTTTAGTGAGCCAGTAAACCCATAGGAAATTGAAACATCATAAGTTTATTATTGTAATTGACCGCACTTCTTGCGGTTTAATGGGGTAATAACCCACGCGGTCTCTAGCTCGTGATTAATAACTTTTTCTTATGTTCTCCTAACACCCTGCGTGGTTTATTGCACCTGTAAATGAACGAAAGAGTTATCTTGGTTTAAGAATGCTGTTTGAACTTCACTCCCAGATAAATCAGATCTTCAATCGGATCCTTATACAGGTGAAACATACCAGAAAACCAGAATCCAAAAGTAAGTTGATTTGAAATCTTCGACGTAATGGCAACACTCGGACCTTGATTAGTTGACACTCGCCATGATACAAATATTCATTGATCGCCTTTACGTTAACTCCCAATAAGCAGTTTCACCTCTCCGCCGATGTTTTGCAACGGACGCTAGGAATTATGATGAGTTCGAGTGATTCAGTGTTGCCAATGGTTCAAAACACCCTAACTTTGAGGCTGAATGTAGATTCTCCTTCTCCCATTTCTTTTCAATTGAACTGTTAACGGCATCAATACTGAAACCCGCGCTGATCTGTACATCTGAGTTAGTGACGATGTGTTGATACTGTACGGTAACATCACTGTCGGTCATCGTGGTGCATTTTGAGGGCTAAAAGGTTTTTTTTTGTAGGTTTATATGTATTTTACCCTGCTCGTGCGCCCGTGCGATTGTTTAGGCTGTTTTGCGTTAATTTGCTTCAGTTTTTAGCCCTCGCATAGCGTTCGGGTCGAAATGATTCTGACTCGGGCCCAAAACATAAACTTTATTGTCTTATTACACATTGATCAATCCTTTTCGTGAAAGGACTGAAGAGGATTTAAAAAGTAATATTTAACAGAGCAGTAATGAGAAAAAAATATTCAGGATCAAAAAATGCTTTAATATATAAAAATTAAAAAAGAAAATAACAGGCCTTGTTTTCTAACGGTTGGAACAAACCATTTATCCAGATACAAACTTAGGCTATCGGAACACAACAAGAACAAACGCTAAAAACGGAACGGGTGATGAACATATTGTAATTTCAACATTTTTTTTTTCCGATCTTCGCAAAAATAAAAAAACTCAACACGAAAATCAAAGTAGCCACATCTGTATTGAACGTGTTAAGTTCTCGCCTTCGGTTCCTCTTTATGTTATTTCCATTAATGACTTTTATTTTCTAATTACTACCAAATGAATGTAACGATCTGATTCAACTTTCATGATTTCAAGTATTTTGTCGCTAGTGATATGCCTAAAGCTCTTGATCATCGTTTTCGATGGATTTTAGATTTCCTGTCCTTGCTTGAGAAATTCTCTTCAAATATTTTGTCAAAGTACTGTTCCAGTTTCTTGCCAGCTTGTCCAACCTCTGAAGTGCTCTGAAAAATTAAAGAATTGGAAAAAATTAAAATTTTTGACTGGCAATAGGGAGTTGTTACCAGTGCAGATCAATGCGCGACTTAACAAATAGTGGCTTCTAAATTAAATGAATGCAGTGATTGGCCATGCCAGCAACAGGTCCGGAGATCGAGGACGCGCGAGCAACTTGCCCCCTGAGGGACTTGGCACTGGGACTTGGTTCATTTCGATGCCAGTATTAGCAAACTCTCGTATGGGAAAACAAGCTCAAGATTCAAGATCAGCAATGTTGAACGCAGACACGCAATGGAGATCTTAGTTACCTACCAAGTTGTACTTGTCACTGTTTGAAAATACAAGCCGAACATCAGCTTCAAAGCTGTCCACATCCGGGTACTCTAAACTATTCAGTTTTCCTTTGATGGTACCCAGGTCCATGGGGGTTGAAACAAGATCCAGGTAGTCTGGGACCTGGAAACATTAGATATATAAGGTTTCGTCTTAGATTAGTTGACTACATTTTTATCTGGTCACACATGCTTTAAGAAAGAATTTTTCTAAGCCCTTTTAACCTCCTGTGCCAGCGATTCGTCCCAGCACACATAAAGATCAATGTTCTCCCAAACTGACACATCAAAAAGAAGGAAATTAGCCCACAAACACGTTCTCATTATAGGTACTGCAGGACGTGCGTTTTCTGCCCGCGTGAAGATTTGAGACAAGTCGAGGAGAGGTTTACCGAGGGACTGGCACTAATTATAAGTGCAAGATCCCTTGTAGATATCTCGCGGGCTCGCGTTGCAAAAGGCCTCATACTTTCACGCGGGTGGAGAAACACTCGTACTAAAGTGATAATAAAGAAAGCCCAATCGCAATCTTGGTAGATATAATTTTTGTACAACTGATCTAACCAAAAAAAAAAATTAGGAAAGCAACGGAGTTACCTTCCCAGTTATAGTCTACAAATTTAATGACTATCACTTGAACGCCGCTAGAGAATTTTTTCGTTTTCATTGCCGTCTAATAGTTTCAATAAATCAGACTAAAGAATTCAGTGGGGGAACAGTCATAGCCTACCTCACGAACATTAACCGCTTGTGTAAACGGCCAGCTGTCTTCGTGACGAACAAGTGCACGTAAAATTTGCTCACAAGTGTCCATCTGAACAGAAAACCAAATACAGAGTTACATTATTTTCTAAGTTAGAGTTGTGTCTCCTTCGAATTGGAAATTCCCCTGATATATACGTGGGTCACGAGATGAGTAGGTATGGAAAAAGTAGTAATCATCATAACGATAGCAATCTAAAAACGACAGCCACATCTAATTCAAAGGCAAAGACTGAATATGGGAAAAATAAAGAAATAGAAGATAAGATAAAAACAAAAATACAAAAAGGAGCCGCTTGCGATTATGTGTTGTAAGAGCAAAACCAAAATAACAAGCGGAAAAAATATATACTTCGAAGAGCAACTTAGAACTAAATGTAAAAAAATCAAGCAAAATGTCCGATCCGCAAGAACAAAGGTGACTAAGTCGTGATTGGTGTTTTTAGCTTTTCATTTGATTTTTTGGGAGAGTGGTACGAGCTTTCTGTGGAGATCATCTAATTATAAGTGAGTCGAAGCAAATGAAAACCACTACGATGCCAAATTACATTTGACACTCATTTGAATATTACTCTTTCATGATTACCTCAACATTGGCACGTCGTCGTTTGGAATTCTCGGATGATTCTTCGGTTCTTCTAGTTTTCCTTGCTGCCTTTCGTCCGGCTTTGTTTACAGATAAATTCTTCGCGTTCTTTTTGCCTTTTTTCCTTGAAAGACGGCCATTGTTAAGCTCCTCAGAATCTTCAGTGTATCCACTCTCATCAGATTCTTCGGAAGAGCTCGGAACTTTTCGGTGATTCCTCGTGGATCTGTATGTAGTCTTTTGAAACGATGCAAAGGGACTAATTTTGCGATTTTCCTTTCCGGAATCTTCGTCATCGTCTCCCTCATCTTCAGAAACATCTGTAAAACAACAAGCAAGATAAAAAATAATTCCTACAGAAAGAGGGCCAGGGAATCAGTGAAGGAGATTTGTTTTCGACAAAATACCAGGCCTGACGTATCAGCACGCTAGTTCAGTGTTCTCACGAAACAGTGAAATGCATCTAACCAAGGTTGAACTTGAGAAAAACAAACATACAAACTAACCTGAAATCTGAGGCCTATTGTGCGCACGCGTCTTCCTACAGGCATTCCTTCCCCTTTCCTCTATCAAGTCATCATCTTCCTCACTGAAGACTTCCCGTTTGCTCACTTTTCTGTTGGTCTTACCATAAAACGATTTTACATTCGTATCCCTTGTGCTGTTTTCTTCCAATTCATCTTCAGAAACTTGTTGGTACATCCTCTGAAGCCTTCTGGACACTCTTCTAGGTTTCTGATTGCCTCGACCATCGATGCTTTCTTCATCAGAAATGTCCTCCAAACTTGGACGGGCTCTTGAAACAGCTCTAGCACGTGCATCACGCGCTCTTTTTCTTCCGTCACGTGCATGCTTCTGAAAAATTCGCTTCGACGCCGTCTTGATTCGCATGTGAGGTTGCTTCTGCTCAGATTCTCTTACAAAGCTTCCCATTCGCTTTAAAAGCTTTTTCGCCTTCCCTTTGGCTTTTACGGACTTCTCCGATTTACGAACTTTAGGGAAATCAATCAATCAATCAATTAGTTACTCAACACATAACTTGAATGAAACTATGTTTGTGACTGTTACAACAAACCTCAGTGGTAATCTATTAGCAAAGATTCTTCACAGAGCAAAAACCAGGGGTTATAATATTAGCCAGGTAGCGGGCAGATCAACCCTCTAGTGATGCGCTCGTAATGCGCTGGCTACCCGCTTGTAGCCTTTACATAAACGTCATTATACTCCGAGTATACGTGTAATTCTCTTCAAATTGGCTGATATCTTGGAAGAACAAGGTAACTTAAATTGGAATATACCTCAAAATGAAGGAAAATCAAATCAAAAAAGCCTTAACCTTCAAAATTCTTCAAGGGAACCCAAGCCTCCGCAGAAAGAAAAGGCCCTACAGGACTTGAGAACTACCCGCCTGCTATTCAAAATACCCATTTGTACCAAATGTTATTGAAATCACTGAGAAGCTTTAACAGTTAAAAGACTTAATCATCATTGAGCCAAAAAAATAAAGTTTCATTTCCTTATAACTCATGTCCTAACTATGATATTTAATAACAGTGGATTCTTTTGTTCTTTGATGCAGTACCTTTCACACTCTTCTGATCCTTTGGCTGGCGACAGAACCAACAACTCCACGCACCCCTAAAAAGTCGAAAAACGTTATTCAGTGTACAAGGGTAGGCACAAGCCAAGTGATGTGAGTGCTGCGTGTGCGTAATGCAAACGGGACTTTACCGTGGTATGTTCCTAAGAGGTGGCTGATGACATGTTTTATGGAAAACCAGCGGGCACGTATCACAGCAGATCAAGTCACCATCTTCTCCACATGTGTAGCAGTAATCTTCATTTTCATCGCAACTATTCAAACTGGCCTCACTTGCCTGATCAATGAGAATCAATGGATAAGATCGAGTAAAATATACAGAAACAAGAGGGTCCTTACGGCCGAAGGTAAGCCCAGTTTTCCTATTATCAAGTGATTGGCAATATTGCGACTCCCCGTTGCAATGTATGCAAGCCCATTGCCGCTTACCCCTACAAGTATTGCTTGTTACCTTTGAGAATAATTCAATTACCCACCGACATGTAAAACCTGACTTATTTCATTGATTAATTTGGTAAAATTCGGAAGTCGTCGGTTGTCTAAACCGTCGTGAACATTTACCTCATCTTTTGAATCTTCAATCTCACTTCCACTTTCCTGTTTGTAATTCTTGGTTCCTGTCCGACTGCTGACCCTCTCATTTGGCTGTTCAAAGAAAAACATCACAAGTGTTTTCCCTTTCCTTCGCTCGAACAAAGGCCTATGATAGCTATACCAGGCAAACATTATTTGAGTAAAAAAGTAAACGCTTAGTACTCAATCTACGAAATTTTTAAAGTACAGTTTTTTGTACTTTTAAAAGTACGAAAAACCTTTAATCTCGATTAAGCCCGTCGAGAAAAATTCCGACCTAAAAGGAACCCAAAGAAAATTTTGCGGAAACTAAAACCCTCTTCCTTGACAGTTAAAAATAGTTTGTAGTTTTTCGAACTTTCTCTGTGACTTTCCAAGAGCTTCTCCGATACTTTATTTAAATTTAGATCGAGAGGTTGGTTTCAAAATAATCCTAACGAAAAGACGTACCCAAAGTAAAATGCTAACTTTTCAGGTTTCATTCAGCGTTACTACTCCCATTAATTTAAGAAAGGCTCACAGGGTACCCACCCCTAACTCGGCTAGCTATGGACTGTTACCTTACAAACAGGGCAGCTCCAGTCTCCCTCGGGCGCTTTAGATAGCGCTGGCCGTAAACAATGCAGATGGTAACCTTGGTTACAATGGTCACACAGTATCAGCGTCTTACCAATATCTTTGCGCCCACAAATCTTGCATCGCTACACGTGATAGAAAATAAAAGTATAATAATAAATTAACTTTGGCCTAAATTGTCCTTCACGGGAGATCAGGCAATAGTTTTGCGAGGTTAACATAGATACACAACACGTGCACATTGCTTAGCTCACGCGTGGGATCGTTTTGTCGGATCATTGCTTCTACAATTTTTTTGTTTGTTTCCTTAGTACTAGTTTGAAAAAAATGCCCAATTATTTCTCAACAAGTTGTGCTCATTTTTAACATGCGAGGTTACCATAGCAATAGCCTAATCAATCAATTTTTTCAAAAGGGTTTCATACCGCATGCTCTGCTGACATATCCCATATCACAAGAGAAGCCAATATTCCAAGTAGCAGATGACATCTAGACACTGTTGTTGCTTTATTGACTGCATCTAACCATCTTTGTTTGGCTTCTTCAGATCCTTTGTTGTCCAAATGGAACATTCCCCGATAGAACCGTGGTAACACTGCATGTAACAACTTTCCAAGCTGCAATGCCTGAGCCAAAAGAAATTCAAGTTCAGAAACTTCAGCCTCGGTAAACGATTATTAAACAGATCAAGGGTGTCTAAACCTGTAATCCTGCGACCAAGAAAAACTAAAATGTAGCAACCCAAGAGGTGAGAACCTCAGTCCTGGAATAAAATATCGAAACCCAATTTTATTGAAAGAAAATAATAACATTTTGATAACATTCACATCAAGTCCTGAAATAGGGTTCCCCTGGGCCTATCACATAAGACATTTTAATGAAAGTTCTTGAGCGTAAGTCAAAGGATATATCTAGGTCTCCCGCGAGGAATCGAGCTTAGGACTCCGCGCTCCGATGCTGTACAAATGAGCCACAGTGAGTTACGCCGTAACTAGCTTCATGCGTGACTCGTGTCCTGTATACTGCTTGGACCAGCAGTGTCCCAAGGATTGTGTGTAAAAATAATGCAAACTTCCTTGATTCATCGAAAAAGCTAAAATTTTACCGTTTCTTTTTTCTTTTCACAAATAGGTCAATGTTTACTGTCTTACCAAATCACTGACAGTCTTGGCTTGGTCTACCCCCTCTAGATATTCCTCCAGGCCATTTTCAAGCTCTGCTAAATTTCCATAGAAGAGTCTTTCAACAGTGTCCTTCAATTCCTGTTAAAAGAAGATTGTAAAGCAAATAAATTATTAAAGACGCTCTTCCTTTGAAAACTTACCGGCAAAACATAAGAAAAAATCGGAAATACACAGACGGGAAATTTTCTGCACTGAAGTTTTTTTTGGTCAATTTATATTGATAATTTGTTTTGTTCTACTTTCTGTTTGTTTTGAAAATACCTGGCAAGGAATTTTTCCTCTGGAGTAGCAGAGTGGAGGGTGAGAAAAAAAATTGCAACTTGTTGTGCATATTTTTTATGTTGCATGATTTTGGTTTAGTTTCTTAGCCCAAGCACACACGAAGTGACATGACATTACACATACCTCTTTGATGGAGCTATAAGGGACTTCTTCACCAGTCTCTGGGTTTAAAACTTTCTTTGAAGAATTTCTAATGACATCAAATGAATACACAAAAATATGTCAAAAACTAACAAAAAAATTAATTGAAGGGTGAATGTTTTGAGTTATAATGAGAGTTCACAATTCTGCCAAATGACCTGAAGGATTCCGTGTGCTTTTCGTTGATTGCCACAAGGAGAAACTTTCCAATATGAGTGCCATGCAGGATGGCATGGGCAGGGTTGGAAAAGGCAGTTTGGGCCTGCCTACTGCTCCACCAGATGCACATTTAATAGAAGAACAAAGGGAAAAAAGATACAGAGAGACAGGGTCATACAATACAAAGAAGACAGCTTACTGAGTGAGTTGAGTTGGGCCACACCTGAAAATATTTGCCTCTTGGTTTAGGCTACGAGCAGCCCCTCCTTTTCGTCGTCCGTCGCACGCGTCAAAAAAATAAAAATCAGCGAAAAAAACCACCAAAAAGAAGGAACTGCTCACAGTCTACTTTCAGTTATGACGTATGGACATCACTGTGCTCAATCCTTACGTAAAGACCTTGAGCCAAAAATTTCCTGTCCAAAACCCCAACTCAGCAAATAAGTACAAAATATGACATGTGTAAAGGGTAAGCATATATGGCCCTCATGCCATACCAACCTTTTAACAATTCCTTCAGTGATTTCTGGCAATTTTTCTTTGAGAGTCTTCTTTAACTCACTTTCCCTGATACCCTGACTTGACAAACAGGAAAGCAAAGCCTGAACTTCTTCAACAGTACTGTAGCAGGACCATTCATATGGAACATCAGTCAACCTGATAAGAGAAAAGTATGACTCCATAAAGACCAGGTTGAAAATGGGTGTTTATAGGGGATGGGAAGGGAGGGGGATGGAAAACGAGGGGGGATGGGAAGAAGGGAGGATGGGAAGGGAAGGGAGGGGGGATGGGAAGGGAGGGGGGGAAAGGCATCAGAAATGATGATGGAGAGTGCAGCAACTGGGAGTCCAATTAAGAGAAAAACCTTTGGAGCAAGGACGAGAACCAACAACAAACTCAACCCACATCTGACACTAGGTCTGGGAATTGAATCGGGCCACAGTAGTGGGAGGTGAGCACTCTTACCATTGCACCATCCCTCTCCCCTTTGCATTTCAGGGGAATGGTAACAAAACATTCAACTGTACACTGATTACTCCCCCAACTTCATTTACTAACATTGCAGGAGATATACCTTGATTCTTTCTCATTATCTTTAGCACAAGAGTCCATCTTTCTTTCAACTTTAGTCTCTTCTACCATTTCAATGACACTTCCCTCTTCACACTGTTCACTCTTATTTTCTGTTTCAATGGTTGCATCTGCAGTGTCTCCAACTTCTTTCTCCACTTTAGAAACACCCTTAGTGGGTATTGCTAGATCCTCTAAATTTCTCCAACCATACTCTACAAAAACCCCTGGTGCCACACCATTGAACACCCAATAACGGCCATGGTTGCGATCACATCCTATGGGTTTTAATCTCAAAGAATACAGACACTGAGCCATGTTCAGCTGAGAAGAGAGGAATTGAAGTCAAATTTAATTTTTTTTTAATGTTAGAAGTCACAAGGTATCCTATAGACAAATTCAAGGAAATTTAGGTCATGTTCCAGTTTCAAACTCCTAGACTAAAAAAGAAATAGGAATTATAAAGTTTGATGTAAATGAAATGGGTAACTATCAGGGACAACAGATAAGTTTCAGAGCTTCTACAGAGTGTGAAAGCTCAGTGTAGGTATTTGAGACCAACTGATGTACAAAAAAGAGTATTCAAGGTCAATGTAAGACACAGAAAGGTAACAACAATTTGACAAGAGCACAGTACAACTAGCTTCCACTTTCATTTGGGTTCTATGATAGTCAATCAAAATAGACTCTACTCTAAACAACTATGCATACTTACATTCAACTGTTCCTCTTCTTCTTTTGCAAGTCTAAATTAAGAGAAAAAAATGTCTTGTCTTAAATTCAGTTCAGATTACCATCATGGGAAGGGAGATTTCTATGCTGCATCTTAGCGAATGTACAATCTGCTGGTTTATTTCCTTACCTCTCCTCCTTCTCTTTTAGTTTCTTCTCATTGATGAGGTCTTTTGCAGCCATGTCTTCTCTTCTTTTCCTCAAAGTTTCAACAACTTCATAACTCTGCCTGTCCTGTTCTGCTCTCAGGGAAACTTCACCTTTCTGTTTTTCTCTCTTCTCCTCCATTTTGTTGGATATCTCCATCTCTGGACCACAACCAAGGGGTTCTGAAGTGACACACTCTGTTCCAGTTTCTACAAAGACAAAAACAGTTATTAATTTTCCTGAGTGCTTTTAACTCATATCAAGTGATGATTTATAGTTTGGATTATTTTTTTCGTCAAGGAAACAAAACTAATTAACCGCAGTAAACTACATACACACTCAAACGCTATTCAGTAAAATTTTTTGCTCTTTCCATACTTTTTGCACTACTATTACTATGCTAACAACACATTTAGTACATTGATTAAAATCTACTAACAGCTGTTTTAACAGTGGTTCATATTAAGACAATCACAAATGAAAAATTTAACCTAAATGCCATGAATACAACTTGCAAATTACAAATTACAATCCAATGGCAGAAATAATGTGCAGATATGCTTCTCCTTGCATAGGCCATCACATTAAGAAATCAGGGTTACAAAAAATGTATCTACATGTTATTTTTCACCTTTCATACTTAGCTCATCCACCTTGAGTTGCTGGAATAAAAAATAAATGTACCAAGTTTAAGGTAAAAAATAGGTAAACAGCTGTCAGTGATAAGATATTGTCTTAGTAGTTTATTCAATTAAAGATCACAAGTGCATAAGTATAGAAGGCTCAAAGAAGAGTGACCGTTTGAACTGTCCTCCAGGACAGAAACAAAAGTAGTTGCTGGAGAGAAGTAGCTGTAAGGGGAGGTTTGAGTGGCTACAATCTGTCATCAAAGAACTTAACAATCTTATCGAGCCAGACAATTTACTATAACATAAAAAATTCAATGGTAACATCTCTTAAAATAATGGAGAGGACAGACATTCTTTTCCTTCATACTTCCATCTTTGTACCTTTTTGTTTGCTTCTTCTTCTTTCTTTTTTTCCATCTCCTGTTTTTCTTTCCTCAGCCTCTCCTTTTCCTCTCTTATCTTATCATTCTTCTCCCTTTGCTTGGCTTGCTTTTGTTTCCTTCAAATAAATCCCAGTATATTAAGAAAATAGTAAAAACTTGAGCGTTAATTTTAGGTATGTTCAAATGGCTTTAGTCTTCTACTGCAAGAAGCTTTTGCAACAAGTTTTCAAGTTTAGCTGGAGAGATCAGTGAAATTATTACTAGAGAATTGTCTGATCTGCCTTATCCAAATACTAACAGCCAAGTGAAAGGTTCTGTTATAGACTACAGAACTCATTATTAGAATCTGGCAATTTGATGGTATATCATTTGATCTGACAACAAATTTTCACAATGAAAATCATATGAAATGTTTAATAAATAGCATAGAGAATTGACAAATAGATCTTAAGATTAAGGGGTAAATTAAAACAAGTTTGCAAAACATGGAAATTTAATCTGTTGATAACATAAACCAGTCTTATTGTTCATCTCCACCTTAATTCTGTGGCCTCTGTGAGTTGACTTCCTATGTAATCATCAACAGCATTTGACGACAAAACCTCATGGCACAGGGTAACCAGGATCTAAATTAAACAGGACACTATTCAA